TGCCGTTTGTGAGCGCTGACTGCCAGGTGACGTCAGGCCTTTCTTTGTGGTGAATGGTGACAGCAACTTGAGTAAGTGCGTGAGGTGGGGGAGGTGCAACTTCCATTGCATGTCGGTGGCCCGAAAGGGTGGAGGAAAACACCGGAGACGACCGGGACTCGGCCGGTGTGAATGTGACCTTTTTGCTCGAATCCATGATTTTTCCCAACGTTAGGAATGCACTGATGAGCTCGTCTTGTTGACTGAGAGGCTTGATTGAGGGTGTGGTGCAGGTACTTTGCTGGGACATTCAGCACTTTGGAGCCATCCAAGTCATTTGGGCAACATGGACGTGGATGGCAAGTAGCACTTTGAACCGGCAATGCTCTCAATTCAAATCATGCAAAACAAAAAGTCACAATAAAATCTGTCGGTACGCCTGGAGCCTCGCCCATGTAGGAAAAAAGATGGGCATGGACTATGATGGTCCTGTTTTTCTTGCAGCTCGGCAAAAATCGAGAGGAAAAAAGACGTAAACGCCCCTTCACCCCTCAATTTTCACCGCTCATAAATAGTGTATTTCCAGTCCTCTCCAGAGTGTACCGCAAAACGCGGCACAAGAAGGAGACCCTCGCCGAAGCAAAGACTCGTGAATAATCCAAGTGACTGGGTAGACGCTGCTGTAAGGTAGGTAAGGATGATTAAAGCTATCCTTCCTGTTTCGTTTGGCTTCACACCACTTTCATGCTTTGACGCGATGGACACCGCAACAGAGCACAGGGAGGCAAAATATAATGCCCATTCTCGTAGAAGTTCGAGAGCATTCCTGTTTGACTCACTTGAGCCGTTTGCTTTTGTTGCGCTGCCTGTCTTTGCAAAATGTGGTGTTCGGCCGGTGAGTTTGATCAAGTGAAGGAGGCGGAGGGAAGGAAATTTTCTTCTCAAATCTTACGTTGCAGCTTTCAGATTATGTAATACGCACCCGTGAGAGAATGTGGGGACTCAGGGGAGGTGCCAGGTTCGTAGGGCAGCTGGTCCCGGCTGGTGCGTTCAGCGCCCGTGTAAGTCGGTCTTGGTGACCAACTTCAAAGCCATAGACTTCAATACTTTGACTGAAGCAAAATGAGATTCTATTGGCCAATGTATATGATGCTGGTTGCCAAGTGTTGTATAGGAGTCACTTCAACAATGTCAGGAGTCAACGCGGTGTCGACAGTGCGACTATCTTAGGTGTCTGAGCTTAGCACGTTCTTCATGAGGCTACAGCGTTGCAAATGAACATATACATCTATTAGCTTTCTCATCAATGGTTTTATCCGATGACCATCAACCATACGCCACATTAAAGCAGATGTTGACGTCGAACTGTTGGTGACCCAAGAACACATTTGGCGTACGATTCAAGCATTCGGCACACAAAGAGGCAAGAACGTGAACACTAGTGGTGCCATTTGTATAATTATAATGATTGTTCAATAATGTTGATAAAGAAAACGGTATACCCGAACACCTAGATAAATTCATACAGTCACTGCTATCCGATGCTGGCTTAGATAAGACCAGCCCGGGCAGCCTCGCCACCACCATCCTGAACGAGTTCGTCCATGCGCCTCTTGCCCTTTCCAATGCCTCCCTCACCAACACCCATTCTTCTGGCAACATACCTCTGTGCCACGACACCCACAGCCAGACTCAACAGCTCTTCGATCCACTCGGCGACCCACTCGCGGGGGTCGACACCACCGCCCTCGACAATTTCACGAATCTCATCCGGGATGGATTGACCCAGAGAGCCCTCCTGGCCATCATCACCGCTGGCAGGAGTCAGCGGGTTGGCGGCGTCCAACCAGCGGATCCACTTGACCGGGATGGACTGGCTGATGGCCGAGTACTCAATCTCGTGGACGGGGTCGAGGCAGAAGACGGCGAAGCAAACCATCTCATCTGCCTCATCCTGTTCGGCCACGGCCGAAGTCTCCTTCTCCTTCTCCACAGCCGACGTACTGGCAAAGAGACCCGAGTCGGCCGTGGTACCCACAGCCTGGATGGCAAGGAAGAGGTCGGAGCTGCGGACCGGGTTGTCTTCGCTCACCGGCTCAGTCGCACGTAGCCGAGCCTGCTCGACACCGCCGTGGGCTGCAAAGTACTCGCTGGCGTAACCCTCGGCTCCAGCACGGCAGAGCTTGGTGCCCTCGGTCAGACCCTTAATCAGACCCAGGTCACGCGGGGAGTCGGATTGTCTCCACCAAGGACCGTCTCTCCAGCCCGCGCCACTGTCATTGGAGTATCTGCGGCTGTGGGTTTCTTGGCCTCGCTGAATGACCATCAACTCGCCGCCCTCCACCTGGGACATGACGCGGGAGAAGGTGCCGTAGATCAATGGATCGAGGGAAGGGTACCCGACCATATCGTGGGCGATGTGAATGAGGAGTCTCTCGTGAGAGCTGATGGGAGGGGCAATGGTGTGGAGGATATTCGTGAATGTCGGAAGAGCTTGCTGGCGAAGGTTGTCTCCTGTGAAGGTAGTGTTAAAACCTACTTGTCCCCTCTATACCAACGCGCGTGGGTTGCGTTTAGGAGATGGCAAAACCAGCTTGTGAACTTACCAAGAGCCCTGAGGCCACCAACGTTTCCACGGACTTGTTCGGCCCATTTCTTGGCTTCCTCGTTCTTCTGAATCTCCTTCACAGCAGCCTCGGCCTGCTTCATGGCGGCAGTGGCCGTGTTGAAGATGCCACCCCACCAACCACCTCCAGCAGCCGCAGCGGGCGCGGCTTCGGGAGAAGCAGCTGATGAGGAGGCAGTGGCAAGCTGTTCAGCAGGCCTCTTCTCGGGTTCTTGCAGGTCGGAGCTTGTGGCACTGGGGGTGAAGCTCGCGCGGAGAGATCGTGCGCTGTCGGTAGACTTGCGGGGGGCAGTCGACTTGTCGTCGGTGGTGGGGGTCGCAGAGCGTTTGGGGATTCCCTTCGCTGCCGTCTCCTTAAGACGCGGCGTATGCGGACGGGAGGGTTGCTCGAGGTCCTTTTCGAGCTCGGCCAGGATGTCGTTATCGGCCATCGCCTTGGAGGCGGCGGTGGTAGGCTTGGGCTTCTTCTCGAGCGACTTCTTAGGGGGGGCAACATTGTCGCCAATTCCATCAAAGAGGTCGTCAATGTCGTCGCCAGCAGCGGCGGGCTTTGTCTTCTTGGAAGCCATGTTGGGCGATGGGAGGATTGTGGTGTTGGTGATGTTGCGGGGCAGACGTCACTAGCTACACGGTGCAACACTTTGAGGGCGGTTAGGTAGCTCCGAAAGGGATGCTCGGCAAGCTTAGTCAGGCGGCGCTAGGTATCAGGACACCGTGAAACAACAGCTCGAATGGAAGGAGCAATGATTATAGCGTGGGGTTCTATGTCCGACGGGCCAGGCCGAAGCGATCAAGGCGATATTGGTGGGTGTAACAGAGAGACACCAGCTCACTGATCGAATGATGACGGGCGGTTATTGATGTTGACCAAGATGCAGTTGAACATTCACCTCATGTTCTCCGACTGTGAACCAAACGGGGGAGTCTGATGCACCAGCGCAGGCACGCCGCACAGCACCACACAAATTGGCGACAGCTGCTGGAGACATGCATCACATTCACCAGGGACGGGACATGCATCAAGCGGAGAGAAGGGATGCGCTAGTCCGTATCCGGAGTGGACGAGAAGCGTGTCATCTCATTGGCCCTGAGTGAACGCCCATCCCCAGTCGGAAATGAAAAAAGCGTGTCTTGTGGGTCCCCGTCTGAAGTCGCCATCTGGCCGGGCTGGGTTCTCTCGTTCTTGGTCTGTCAAGGCTTACAGCGGGCTTTTAGGGGTCTTGATCAGTGGCTATAGGGGTGAGCCTGCTGTAGGCTCGCCCATAGTGACAAGCTGTAGGGAGGTCGGGCCACTAAAGGGATTTCCTCCAGCTCCCATCATAGGTCCTGGTATGCTTGACGAGACGGGAACTTGGGGTGCAAGTCAGCCAGAGGTAGGTACGTATCCCATTCCCGAGTCCCTTCCCCCTTGGGCCCTTGTACCCACGTACCGGTTTTTCTTCCTTCCTTCCTTCCCATTGCCTTGTGGTCCAGGCGTGGCTGGCTCGGAAGGACTAACAGCCAATGCCAGTGCAGGAGCGTTCCAAAGGGGCCCAGTCGTGCCTTCCCTTTCTCTCTCCCGGCCCCTGCCAGCCAGTAACGGAACGGAAGGAAGTGGCAGCCAGCCTGAGCCAGGCCAGCAAGAGCAACAGGTGGACGTGTGTGGACGCAGACGTGGACAGGGCCCCGGCTGGCAAGGCAAAATTGAGAAATGCAAGTCAAAGTGAAGACGGGAAGGAGCCATCTCAGCAACAAGACAGGAAGGGGCCACCAACAGCACAAATCACCACATTTTCCACCTCAGATATCTTACCCTCACGACTTCTTTGCCCTCTTGAAAATATCGTCGCTATTTTCTTTGGCTCTTTAGCTTTCTCCAGAGCGTATTTTTGTTTGCTCTAGCTATCGCGCAGACCCGTCCTGTCTGCTCTCAAATTTGACGTCTTATTTGGTATTGGCAACAGCAAGGCCTGTTTCTCTCAGCTCAGGTCTCTTTCGGTCTCGCTCACTCACACTCACCACTCACCACTCACACAACCTTTGGCTCTCACTCTCAGCTCTCAGTCGGGTGGTCCAAGTCAAGTCAAACCACCACATCACCACTTACTTGCATCAAACCCGGTTTTTTTCGCCAGCACCTTCACATTCAACCTCCCTCCCCCTACCGACAGCCTCTTACTGCCATCCGTTAAATCTACGACGGGACAAGAGTTCATTAGCTCTTCATTCACATCACATCACTATTCAGAGTAGTCGTCTCCCGTCTCATTGAATGACTTCTCGGCTTTCTCCGCCATCTTATTGCGGCTCCCCTTCTACCCCCAAATCATCTACACATCCGTCTCCGTAAGCCAGGTCACCTCTTCACCTGTTCTTACTTGGACTGCACCATCACACAACCGCTGCTCTGACAGCTATGGACCAGCGCTCTCGCGGTGGCCGTCCGAATCGCCGGAAAACTCTTCCCACTTCCAGCATCCAGTCTGATACCAGCGCAGGCGGCGAGTCAAACTCGAGCATCATGACGCGCTCTCCTCCCATTGCTGCCTCTCGCACTCCTCAGACGGCACCTCAAAATCGCCGCAACGCAAAGCCCATTCCCATGAATAACCCCTTCAGTGTCCGCTCATCTCCCAGTACGGGCGGATCCGGTCCTGGCCCTGGCAAGGCTCTTAGAAAGAGATCTCGCACCAGCGGCTTTGACGGGCCCGCAGATGAAGAAGACGAGACCTACCGCAAGGGCCCTCACACTTTGAGAAAGCGTGCGAAAATCGACTACTCCGCCGCAGACTTTGAGGATGAGCTGCCCGAGATTGCAATCCCGGCCCCTCGCACTGCTACCCGTAAGAAGCGGGCTGACAGTGAAGTCGTCGACGAGGAGTACTACACGCCCACAGCACAAAAGCGCCGCGCCAACTCGAGAGAATTTTCCGTCGCCAGTATTACCGCCGCTCGTCGTCGGACTCCGGCCCGGAAGAACGTCGTCGAACAACAATCCTTCTACTCTCAGCAATCAGACGAGGATATTGTCAAGGATACTATTGAAGTGGTGGGCGATTCTTCTGACCTCATCAGCTCTGATGATGCATCTGACCATGATGACAATGACAAGGACATTTCCGGTCACGCCTCCCTTCCAGAAAACCATGACCAGCTCTCGTCGCCCATCCAACGCAAGACTCAGGTAATACTTCAACTGGCATCTCCCATTGGCCATCAGATCATCAAGCAGGATGAGAGTCAATTGAGCCAGAGCCAAGCACAAACCGTTCCCGGCGACATTGTTACCGCCGCGGATGAGGTAGCGGGCCCTATCATCGCTCACCCTCAGCCCATCCGCGTCAATCAAGTCACCATTATCGGAAACACTGGCCCGCACCCAGACACCGGGGCGACAACAGTTCATCATGGCGACTTCGTCGAAGATTATTCTATCCAGCCCAAGAGAGAGGCCAGTTCTCCCGTGCGGCCTACTGAAAGTTTACCGCAGAGAACGGCTCTGCCGGAGATGGCTGAGCCGGCAGTCAACGCCGACTCTGCTGTTGTCTCCGGTACTCAGGAAAATTCCGCACCAGCCGTTGCTCAGATTTTCAACGCCACCAACAACATCGACCATGTCAACGTCGCACAGCGGACTGAAGAACCACGAGAGTCTATCGCCGATGTGTCAACAGAAGACACAAAGGTAAATGGTCATATCGAAGCGACCGAAAATAAGCTTCCGCCTCAAGAGGAGCCGTTAAATACACAGCCCGCCGCCCCTTCACAAGATGTCGACGTCTCTATATCATTCACAACTCAGTCCGAGGACTTGTCCCGGCCTCAAGACGAGATGGACGTTGACGTTGCAGAGGAACCCGATGCAGAAATGCAGGACGATGTTGCTGCTCCTGAATCCGTTGCTGTTCCTGAACCCAAAGCAGCATCCCCGCAACCCCAACCCGCCGCTCCTGAGGTGAAAAAGAAGCGCTATCCGTGGTCCCACCTTACACCTTACGTTGATGGCGAATATGTCACCCACTCCATCTACCCGGTCGCTGTCGAGGCATCTGCGCCCACCTCAAATGCCGACGCCGCTGAAACTTCCGGCGAGCGAGAGATCGCTGACGAGACGCCCGAGAATGCCAATGCGAACTCCCATGGCCAGGGTGCTGAAGCAGACGCAGAAGACGGTGCCAATGCCGATGCAGACGGCGAAGTTGACGACACTGAGCGGGACGCCGATCACGATGAGGATCTCGCACCCGACAGCCAAGGCCAGCAACTTTCCCAAGGGTCCGCTTACAACTCGGCTGCCCCGACTCCCGCACTTACGCCCCGCCAAGGGTCGCCTGTTGTGCCCTCAGCCGCGACGGGGACCAGCACACCAGCTTTGATGCCGAAGCAACGCTTCAGAAAACAGTACAGGTTCAAAAAGCTTAGGGATCCTGCCGAATTTCTAGCCTTCCTAAAGGACTCCGAGGACCTCCCCCAAGAGGAGCTCTGGGACCTTCTGGCTCAGGCCAATGAGTGCCTCCTTGCTTATCAAGAGGAGTACAAAGAGTGCAGCAGGGTCGTAGATGATCAAGAAAATGCCCAGCGTCGCGCCATTCAGGATGCCGCCTACGAAAAGAAGACTGCCGACTTGAACGCCTTTGCCAAGGTAGACTCATACATCGAAAAGGAGTTTGAGGTGCAGGGCTCCCGAGCCACGATCAAGGAGAAAGACGCCGGAATTCTCGAGCAACGCTTGCAAGACAGGATCATGGCCGCCACGTATCACTTTGAGTACGATCCTCACCCCAATAAAGTGGGCAACCAAGATCCCGGCGCTCAGAAGGGTGGTGGAGGCGAAGGTGTCCGCCAACTCCGAAGCCAGCCGCAAGCAAGCGCCAAGGCTGCCGAAGGCGACGGAGTCATCGTCTCTGGCAAGAGAACTCGCAACCCCCCGAAGTTGTTTGACGGCGTGTTACAGGACGACCACCGTGCAGCAACTCCGGGAAGCAACAAGCCGGGCCCGAAGAAGCGCGGTAGGGCTGCCGCCGCAGAAAAGGCGGCTTCAGCTCAAGATCCCGAAGAGGAGCCTGAGCCCGAGCCGCAAACAGTTTCACCTGCCAAGCCCGGCCCCAAGAAGAGAGGGCCGAGGGGTAGGAAGTCTGCCGTGGTGGTCTCGGAGCCGAATTCGCCTGCTCCCGAAGAAGAGGCCATCGCCCCGCCGCCGGAGCCAGAACAGGTACAGCCTCCCAAGCGCAAGCGTGGCAGACAACCAAAGTCGGCCGCCATTGTCGAGGAAGAGCCAGAGGAGCCCGAGAAGCCGACCCCCAAGAGAGGTCGCGCAGCGCAGCGAAAGAGCAACGGCCATGTTGCTGTTGTTGCACCCGAAACAACCGACGAATCCCGCCCTACCTCGGCATCATCGATGGCCACTATCTCGGACGCCGGATCTACCTACGGACTGCGTCAGAAGAAGCGACAGCGAAATTGGCAGGACGAGGAGGAAGTCGACGAGGAAGAAGTGGAGGCCGAGCCCCAGCCTAAGAAGGCTCGCATCATTCGCATCAACAGAAAGCAAAGCGCACCGGAGCTCGCACCCAAAGAGACACTGGGCGAGCATATTCTCGCTGATATACACCGTTTCACCGCGACTCTCGATGCAGCCGAGTCCCCTCAGCCCCGGATGATGGTGTCATTCAAGCTGATTAACAATGGCTCCAGATGGACCATCAAGCCCCCAGCCTCGCCGCGCCAAACATCTACGGACGTCAGCGAGTACAACCTGTCGACCCCTCGACCAGCGCCAGTGTCTGCACCTACCTCGGCCAAGTCATCGGCCCCGCCTAGCCAGGCTGAAGGGGAGGAGAAGGATTACTCGACCATGACCAAGTCGGAGAAGATGTCGGCCTCGATGAAAAGTACGCTTTACGCAACCCCATCACTGATTTTACAGTCTACTAACAATTTCTCTAGAACGATGGCTCAATGGCAGCATGCAGGGCGCTGTCAACAAAAGAAAGGCTACTCTCGCTGCGAAAAAGGCAGCAGCTGCCGCGGCCGAAGCTGATGCGGCCCGAATCGCTCAGCAGAAGGCCATGCAACTCCAGCAATCTGGACAACCAGCACCTTTCCCCCTGGGACAGGGACAGTAACGAATCCAGACACCAACTACACACGTCCGTTAAGAACGGCACGTTTAACTACCATGCAGAGCAGGATGATGACCCATACGGATCACATTGAAAAAAACACAACCGCAAAAGGTCACGAGACCCACGAATATCATTACCAGCATCATGTGCTTCTCAGAGCAACTATTTTCCAGTCTTCTACGATCAGCATTGTATACCCATTCGCATGACGAAAGTCGCATCCGGATGGCAGTGGACGGGTTCGGGCACACGAATACGCAAAAGCCCCGCACGCCGATACACACCTAATTCAGTTTTCTTGTTCGAGTACACATATCGGGAGAGGCACCTTGGGAGATGATCTCTCTTACATCAGCATCGGGAAGCGAGGGCATCCGACTTTTTCCCATTTTCGATTCGAGTGTTGGAAACCAAAAAAGAGGAGAGAGCGTATGAATCTTTGCATTGATGGATTGACAGAACGGTACACCGGTCTCAGCTCCCATAATCGACTGAGGACATTTACAGTGCCGCCGTCTTCGTCACTTTTTCTTTTTATCGAATCTTTCTTTCTCGGCTCTTGTGTATTTGCGCCAAACTTTTCTTGATTTCAGGCGACGAATACGAAATTTCGTCGATTTGGCACCCGCTCGCTGAAGTGAGTGGTCTTTCGGAGGTGGCGCGTCAATGGAAGTGGAGAGTCAAGTCGTGGACTGTCTGGCCTCAGCCTTGAGGAAGGAGAGAGAGAGCTTTCGCGTATCTGAGCGGTTCATGGCAGAGGGAATTTGGCTCTGATATCCTGCTTGAAGGATCTCGTTGAGACGCCCTAGGACATGGGTTGGTGATGGATAAGTGGGGTTTGTCTTCTGGGACGATGGCGGTGGACGGATGGAGTCGATACTCTCTGATGAAATTGACGTTGATGCCATACACATACGCTGTTCCTGATGTGATACGAAGAACTGTCTCTGCTATTCTTGAAGTTGCTTGTTTACCTCATCGTTGAAGCTATCCTGACCATGCAGGAGTACAACTCAGTGAGTATTTCGCTCGATGTGTCGCTTGTCATATCTTGAGCATTTTCCCATCTCCTAGGGACCAAAATGCCTCCATCGCCATGTTTTCCGACACTAGAAATCGAAACTTCACAAGTGAGTGCCTTCCGCCGTAGGTGCAGTTGACAATCTAACCTCGCTCGACATGTCCTTCACCTGTCTTTGGCAAGCCGGCTACCACGTTTGTCAGTGGTCATAGCATCGTAGGATTTCTCTATTCCGCCCATAACCTTCATCTTGAGCCACTTCCGATGGCCCCTAACACTCGTATTGCCGACGCGTCCGTGATATGCGGCTGCGAGAGCAGCAAGGCAACGGAGCTCGAGGCAACCGTTCCCTCCTCTGCTCTGCACATGTGAACATCTTCATCGCTGATTATCTGGAAGGTGGGGCCAGGCAACTCCAGCTTCAAGCGTGGACTAGCAAAAACAAATCACTTGAGCCAATTCATACTTGCATCATAGCTTGTCAACCTTCACTGCAATTTCTACACGCCCCAAGGCCGTGCTGCCTCTATCGGCTACTTTCATTGGATCAGATGTAGCCTTAGCTACCTCCTTCCCGTCCAAGAAAACTCAGCCTTGCATTCGCATTCCATGCCACTATGCAACCCGTCCAACGCAGCTGTATGTATCTAAGCCGGTGGGCGTACAGCGAGACTATAGTTTCTTCCAGAGGCCATTTCGTCGGTCATCTTCGGCAATCCTAATCTACAGAGATTTTGCATTATAAGCAAGCGGCTACCATTTCTCCTGGCGCAGAAAAAGGCTAATTGGTCTCGTTGCGGACTTGTAATATTGCGAGGTGCTTCCTAACATCAAAATTAGCAACCTTAGAGAGGGTGCTCGCTGGGTGGCGATATGACAACTAAACCACAATGCAATGCCTTGTACATAGTCTATCCAATATATTTCATTTTCACTGCGTTTTTACCTCACTCAAAGGGCTTCGGTGTCAAGTCATTCAGCAGCTGCAGCTCTACAATCCTCTTTCATTCGATTATTCGGGGTAGCCAGGATTACGACAGGCCGGACCTAATCTGGCGTGCTGCGGACATGGTGACGGCCATGACCTATACTACTACTTCCTCTCTTCTCGGGCGCATGCGGACATCCCTTTCTGATCGCACGGGTGGCTTCTTGAAGGTATCGACTCGTCTATTGGTTTATCCTGCCTCAGAACGAGGCGATGCTCGACTGGCACCCCATTCTGGTGGCTTAGGGAGGAGTTCAACACCAATCATGGCGCGTGTCAGCGAGTGACACGGTTTGAAAAAGGGGCTGGTTGTCAACACTGTAATTTTGGCCGCTCACCAGGCTCCAAAGACTGCAATGCTCGGGCGAGATTTCACGTCGATTTCCGGAGTATGGTTAAGTTGGGTGGTCTCGTCATGCTACAGTCCCCACGATGCAGAAAGGCCTCCTCAATAGGTCTTCTTCCTGATCCTTGATACCTCCATGTTCATATGGGATGACGAAGTATACGCCCTGGTGCGTTTGACTACATTTCGAGCAATGACTTTCCTCTTCTCCAACCAGCTATCGAACATCGCAATGCTGAGCAGTGTCTAGCCTAGGTCGGCTCCAAGTCTTGTAGCCCACACTGTAGGCAATTCGAAACCACCTATTCGTAAGGCGACCCTGATTTGGATAAGTTAGTCGTAGCTAAATCAAGTCAGAGGAACCGAAGTGTCGCCACCGGACACGCGGAAAAGAGTAGTATGTTCACGCCGCAGAGCTTGTATCACAACAAGGCAAGTCAAGTTGCTGCAGGTAGAGGACATGGGAATTGGATAAGCGGTGCTGGACTAGTTCGGGCTGATTGAGGAAATCGTGAACGCAGGCCATAGCCTGCGAGGGGGTTAAAATTGCTGTGCAGTCAGAGCCTCAGAAGCCGCATTCATTATCCGTCGCCGCCAATAGAAGCGGGCGAAAGTGAGAAGGCGGGGAGGAAACCGCATGCAGATATCACTAACACAGACCCAACTTTCTAGTTGGAATCCTGGGCATTTGCCTGGTCGGTGTTCGTCGACGCTCGTCTGCTTGGGAGTAGAGCAAAGACATGGCCAATTCACACGCAGCGAAGGCGCCAACTGGGGAGCGAAACGGGAAAGCAGGAGGCAAATATGTGTAACGTGCGCAAAGAATCGGATTTTTGTATCTCTCCTGTATGCGAAATGCCTGGTATGAATTTCTTTCCCTTTACACGCCACAGCCGAAATGCAGAACCTGCCAGTCCAGCGAGGAAACTAAAAAGAAAAAAACCAGGCCCACAACCCTCTTTCAGATGGTGTTTTGTGTGTGATGATGGAATCCATTCGACCTCGCTCTCTTTCACTTCATGACGACAGGGTGGGGGGAGAGAGGTGTCAAGGAGAGAGAGGAGGAGGGGTGATGAAGTATGTCCCAATGGTTCGCACCGGTTGACCTAATCCGTAGCCATAACGTCGTCCTTTTCGCCCTTTTATTTCTTGACTTGTGTAAAAAAAACTCCTTTACATGACGACACCAGAGTTGCTGGCAATACGCTGGATTGGGTGTTAGTCTCGTGTATCACAAGATCGTTTGTATGGGGAAAACTTACGGGCCAGAGCTCAGCAGCCTCCTTACCGACGGGGCCGGTAATGGCGGAGCCCTTCATCTCACCTTTGGGGTTGACGATCTGTAGAAGGTGTGTTAGCAGACAGTTCGTGATATCCATCTTCAAAAAAGGGACGTCATCTTCGGAGCCTGGCTATGCGAAAGCCATACGACCAAGTCTCGTCCGACGCGTCCCATGTCTCCCAGATATCGGATAGTACTTACGACACCGGCGTTGTCCTCGAAGTACAGGAAGACACCGTCGAAACGCTTCCAGGGCTTGGACTGGCGAACGATGACGGCGGGGTGGACCTTCTTGCGGAGTTCGGGCTTTCCCTTCTTGACGGTGGCCATGACCATGTCACCGACACCACCGGCGGGCAGTCTGTTGAGGCGGGCACCGATACCCTTGACGGAGATGATGTAAAGGTTACGGGCACCAGAGTTGTCGGCGCAGTTCATGACGGCACCACTGAAGCAACAGAGTCAGCGACGAGTTTCCCACCACAGAGAGAGGGGTTTCTCTCATTCGGGGAGAGAGGAGAGTTCGTACACGGGAAGACCGAGGGTCATCTTGAGCTTGCCACCGGGGGCACCGCGACTGTAGGAATCTGGTCAGCACTTCCGCGTCTTGATCTTTGCCGGAATTTTCTCTGCTCTTGTCTCCTCCATTGTCGGCGCAAAATTTCGTTTCTCGTGGCGGGCTAGCGGCAGGCGAAGGGTGTCGTTTCGCGCAGTGTTTTTGTTTTCCATTCGTGCATGCCGTCAATCGGTGTTTCTGTCGAAGTCGAAGCCCAATCCAACACTTTCGGCCGTTGCCTTGCTGTCTTCAAGATTTCCTCCTCTTTCCCTGCGTCGGTCGTAGTGTTGTTTGTGTCGAAATTTCGAGCGCCCGCCCGCTTCGTGCCGCGTGCATCCCACCAAAACCCCCGTCGTCGCTGGAGGAGGGGTGAAAAGAAGCCGAAAATTTTGCGCCGTCGCTGGATTCGAAGAGTAGAGTGACAATGACTTACGAGAGCTTGGCCATTGTGTCGGTTTGGGGGTGTCGGAATCAACTACGGGGCTGGCTGGAGGGTTAGATGGCGGACGTGGAATCGTGAACTAGGCTGGAAATTTCACGACTTCGAAAATGTTTTTGGTGAATCGCTGGTGTGGAGCACCGAACCCTACGCTCCTCCCTTACCCGAGCCAGAATTGTCGGTCACGTGTAGATTAGATAAGCCGTCCCCGAAAACCTTTTCCTCTGTTTTTTGGATGCGCAAAGACCCCGCTGTAAGTCTTGCCCCACCTCACTCTCTCCCAAGGCCCGCCCCTCATCACTGCCTTGGGGGAAGATACAACCGCAGTGAAGGATGTTGGGTCTTTCTTCGGTTCTCAAAGACTGCAGATTGCAGTGAACGGGCATACAGTCATGTAATCGTTAACCGGCGAATGTGACTAATCAGTCCAGATCAGCTGTTCTCACCGACTCTTACCGAGCCACCCCCACTTGATCATCTTGAGGGGAATAAAGGCAGCAACGAAGACCGCGCTGCGCAATACTCGTTTTCCCTCTCAATCAGCTACAGGAAGATAGACTTCTAAGTCATTTAATTTGCTGCGTGCTTAACTTACACATGGGCAAGCCTAACTAGGCCCATTACGATTGGTTGGGATGCTAGATGTGGATACTTCAGCCTTCAGGTCCACGCCTCTGCGTGGGATAACAGCGAAGCACATCAAGAACTCCCGAATCCATCGCCCGTGAGTGGGTCGAGATTGAACTTGACTTAGAAGATCGTAAGGAGGTACGGTATGTTCGACGATGAGGGAAGCGGTTGTTGCTTGAGCTAGAAGCGACGCAAATGACGCAGTCTTCTTGATGACTTCGAGTTTTGAGCTTCCGTACACGACGCCTTGCATCACGCTCATGGGAATTACTGCTTTGTAAACATACCTGCATTTGTCTCATGATAAGACTTTAATCGTTGCTCCAATGCCATATCGAAAACCCTTCCCCATCCCGTTGTTATACTTGGTAGCAAGGACAATGTTACTTCTGTTCTCTTATCAGTTCGCCGAGATTCATATCATCGACCATCTGGTGCAAGATGCTCACCAGTTGAATCCTAGCTCACATAAAGCTCATAGACCGTCCATCAAAGATACCATCATCGCGCAGACAACTCTTTCGTATCAGACCATCTGAGAGAGATCCGTTGTCCACTTCCACCTCCAAAGTCCCCATCCAGACATCCTTGGGGCAAGGATCATCATCTCCATCATCCCGGCATAGAACACTCCGAGCCCCTCCATCACCCCGTTGGTGATCGTAGTCTACGGGAACCGGATGAATAAGAAGATTCTGGCGATGCAACTGAAGAACCACATCATTCCGTTGCCGGCTTGTAGGCTCAAGTGAGGAAAATTCTGGGTGAGATAACCGCCCCGAGATGTGAGAGGTCACGATATGAGAGGCAGGGCTGTATTCTCAAACCTTGATAAGATCTTGGAGGCGACTGATGTTCAACTGATTTCAAGTGGGTTTCGTAATCATTTTACAAGGAGCCATTGTAGAAGTAGATCATGACGCAAGTCTGAAATATGGTTGCTAATTCCAAAAGTTTGCTAAAGCGGACTAGAAGATAACACAGTCGTTGAACAAAGCCGGACATGATCAAATATGACGCGTAGCTGCCTGAGCCTTGATCGTATCTTGATTTCCAAGTCTCGAGACCATGATTTTCAGCGTAGCTAAGACTATCTAAGTCATCTCCGAAGCCTCTTGACTTCAAAGTCGCAGTCTAACCCATACCAACATCGCGCCCAACGACCTCAACTTAAACCATCACCCAAACAACCGTCACGATCCCTCTCACTCATCCTCTAACCCATCTAACCCCCTCCTCTACCAAAACCGCACCCAGCACCCCCATTACACCCCACGCAAAAACCTCATACCCCAAAGCCCCAAACCTCCTCAGCACCATCCACCTCAACATCCGGAAGCAATCCCACCGACTCAGCTCCACCTTCCACCCGGGCGGATACCACTCCGGCACAGGCGGATCCTCCGGGCACCACATGTCCCGCCCGCCGGCCTCGAAGACGAGGTAACCGATGCTGCGGAGCGTGAGGACGGTGCAGTAGGTTATGTAGACGAGGTAGATTCCCAACACGACCTCGCGCGGCGTGAGCAGGGAGGGGTGGTGGAGGATGTGGGATATTCGGGTTGCGGATTCAAGGACGGTGTAGGGGCGGCGGGAGAGGTTGCCGTTGATGACGGAGGGCATCTTTTGGTCGGTTGGGGTGAGGTTGTGAGGTGGTGAAGGGTGAAGATGCTGATACTGATGAACAAGGAAGTTTCGAGGCGAATCCGAGTTCACATCAATTGCTTCGATTACATCGATCAGATCAAAGGCTTGACGAGGAACGAGCTCCCGCCAGGCGAGACGAAGGATTGTTAAGTCTGAATGATGTTGGCGTTGGTGGTGGTTGATGATGAGTGTTGGCCGATGAGAGGGCGAAATTACGGCCCCCACAAAGGACGGACCAGGATCGCATGGCGGGTGCCTATGTGTCCTGCCGTTGCCCAGGTCGGTCATCTTCGAAGCGTACGACTCCAAAGGTGCACATTGTTATTTGAATGCCTAGTAGGCTTCCTTGAGTTTTCACGGCACTTGCGTAACCACAAACGTGGCCAAATGATGAATCCAATAGAATATGCTTGAATTGATACCGGGTATCTTTGAAGAAAACAGCCCACTGCCTCATGATCTACCGAGCCAGTGCCTTATGCCATGAGTATAGAGAATGCCAAAACCATAACCGTTGTGAACACGAGTCCCATAAGACCAGGTAGATGCCGGGTGCTCCCGGCCCCTTCCTAGCTCCCACCGCCTGTCGAATCGCTATTATTCGAGCCATTCGAACCACCACTAGTCGTAGGCGCGGCAATCTGAGCGCTCGCGTTGGGTCGCACGCTCTGGGGATTCGAGAACAGATCCTTGGGATCCCACGTCGCTTTGATGCGCTCGAGCGTTGGGAGGTTGGTTCCCCAATACCTCTCTTGCGCGTTGTCGAGTGTCGGGTCGACATAACCAGCATACGTGCTCAGCTCGTTCGGACTCGCTTTCCGGATCTTGTCGGCGACTCCGGACATGAAATCCTTGGTCTTGCTGCTCAAGGTCGGGATGCCGATACCGTAGCCCTGGAAGAACATGACCTTGTCGCGGTGACGGTAGGCGGTAGCGTTCATGGGCACGTCGTTGATTGCGCCGCCGGTAACGTCAAAGATGAGGAACCAAATCAGGGTACCGCGGTCGGCACCATCCACATAGTCCATCATTCCTTGAATGCCATCTTCGCTGAGGAGGTCGTTGCGTGTAAAGGCGAGACTTTTGGAGGTGAAGGGTGACTGGATGTCACTCAGCCAGAGCGCCGCATCTTGTGCCTTTTGAGCAACGTCGCCGAGCCAGTCATTTACCACCACGGACACCTTGCCCTCGGGGATGCGGTCTGGGATGCCCGTCTTCTTGAACTCATCTTCCGTACCGTAAAATGTAGCCGTGATGGCGACGCCGAGCTCCTGCATCACAAACTCGCTGCTGAACCGACGGTCCAGCTCTGGATCAGAAATGAGATCTTGCCATTGCTTGAAGACAGGTGCAAGATCGCGGTGCTTGGCGAAAGTGATGGCGTACGAGTATTGTACAACATCGCCGGGCTCCGGGTGGGTCCGCATAACAAATTCGGTGATGACGCCGAAGCCGGCGCCGGCGCCCTTGAGAGCAAAGAAGAGGTCCGAGTTCTGGCTCTCGCTTGCTCGCTGGATCTTGCCGTCTGCGGTGACCACCTCAACTTCGACGACGTGATCAAGACAGCTTCCCCACATTCTTGAGCTGGGGCCGAGACCGCCCTAAATGTGACATGCATTAGCAGGGCGCACGAAGGCTTGATAGATCGCCGACTGCGGGGGACTAACAATTGTGGCATGGCCTCCGATGCCTACACCGGGACACGTGCCGTGAGCCATGGCTCTCTTCCCATTGTCGTGCAACTTTTCCGTCACGTCGTGCAGCTTGTGACCTCCGCCGATAGTTGCCTGCCAAGTGTTCGTGTCCATGGAGAAGTTTTGAAAGTTTGCCAAGTCAATGACGAGAGCGCCGTCGGTGCCACCAATGCCAAAGTTGCTGAGGAGAGATGAGCATGTTAGCAGTGGACTAGATAACGATGACATGTCGAGAAACCTACGCATATGAGTGGCCTCCCGATTTGGCTTGCACCTTGACATTGTTGTCCGCAGCGCATTTGACGAAACCGGCGACATCTTCCGTTGTTGACGGTTTTGTGACAGCGATGGGCTCCACCGGGATATCGAGATTGTACGGCTTCACCCAGTTGAGCTGGAAGAGAGGGTCGTTTGGATATCCAACGCAAGAGGAGCGGCCATTGCAGACGTTGTCGAGACAAGTCGCCAACGGGCTGCTAGGCTTCTGTCCCATGATTAGTGCCACGAAGGGGATTTATCGAGGGCAATAGAGCATGAGACGAAATGCGCAGAACTGAAGGGCGGACGGTATTGGGTTGTTAAAGGTCGTAGGTATGCTCCGTACTCAGTTTATACATGGCAGGGGATTCCCTCTGGCGTCGCAATCCTTCCCGGCACTTTGGAGGCCCCAACAACGAATTATGGGGGAGAGAAGCAGGTGATGTCCAACTTCTTGCGGTGGGATAGGCCGAGCCATAACCAAGATCCTTGATGTTTGGCGTGTTTAGGTAGCAGCGGCGGGCCACAGATAGCGTTCCTGGCTGATCATCCCATTGCGAGGTAAGGTAGTACACGTTGACGCCTGCCACTTCCGCCTTCCGCCGCCGTCATCCCCTCGCCTGAGAGAGCCAGGCTTGTCAGGTCTGTCCTATAATACAGACGCAACACCAGCGTACTGTAGGCATGGCTGAGATGTGGCTGGCAGCGGACCACAGAAAAGATGGCCAATGGTGGGTTGCCAGCGGCGTGGAAGATTGCCACCGGTATCCTACTTTGTT